ATTATACCCCGAGCCACTGTGATGGGTCTGATTAAATATACCAGTCACAAGTCTCCCTCAAGGGTAATATGATAGTGAGGTTGTACTCTTCGCTGGCCCTTGCTTCAGAGCTATGAACCGGGATACAACGATCAAGAATGAAGTGTAGATATTTGAAGACTATCAAATCAGCCAGTATGATCACGAAAGGTTCCGGATGGAGCATTCAAACGCCGAAGGATCGCTAGCTCGTTCTCAACGGAATATTGGACCTTTTAAGGACTCCAATTCCCAAGTTACACCAGCAGGCTGGGTCACGCCGTTGGGCCCATCCGGCTGAATGGACAACCGCCAAGTCAGACCAACAGCAATGGTGTGTTCTAGCTATTGTGATAGTTTGTTATGCTCCCGTGTGGAGGCTCACAATGTCAGGTACTGTGCAGTACTGGATTATTCTGAAGTTCGATTTAAGTCGCACATTGTTATACCTATTGTTGACTGTATCAGCTCATATTTAATATGGAAGGAATGACTTTCTAGGCGGCATGCGTTGATACTTGATTCAGAAGGGCACGGTCTACCGGTAGATACCCGAGCAAGAACCTTTCCCAATCTGTCCATGTACCCAGTTTCTAAATTACCCTCTGGTATGGCTTCAAAAGAGGTACGTGTACGCGTCCGATGATGATCACGATCCTTCTGTCGGTACTTTCCCGCCACGCTGTGACACTAACGGTGAAGCCCCTGAACTAGGAGGGTAATGCTTGGAATGGAGCACGGTAAGGGCAGCCACGAAATACTCCTTATGGGATAGTTCCTCCCACCTTGACCTTCCTTTCAAGTTTCAAGCCTTGTAATTTATTGTACCTTCCGATAGGCCACGTTGGTACCACGTTATGGTCCATCGGGCCTTCACTATTGATATAACAGAGCCGTCATCCGCAATATGTTCTATCGTTCTCCAATTCCCCTTCATCTGATCAATCCGTCGTCCAATATACGTCATAAACCACCATGATAAGTGCAGCAGAGGGCAGCCCCAATGGCAACAGCTGCTGCCAGCCAAACGGCAGGATGGACGATCATGCACAGCAGGCCTTTGTCGATGACAACGTTGCCATATCTCCAAATGCCCCTGAGGAGGTCTCCACTCTTCTAAAGCGCATAGCATTGCATGGTGAGGCTTACCTCACAGAGAATGATGAGAACGAGCGAACGAAGATCCTCGATGCAGCGCGATCATTGGTCTACGCTCTTGAGACTCCTCGAGAAGCCATCATCAGACACTGCTGGTCGCAGGTGAGCCATAAAATCTAGATAAGCAAAAGTGCAAGCATGCTAAGGGTCATGGTAGAGCACACTATATGCAGCTTTGGAAACCGGCGTCGACCTGGGGCTTTTTACTGCCCTATCGCAGAACGACAAACCGAAGACAGCTGGCCAACTTGCCACAGCTACCGGTGCTGACCCAACGATGCTTGGTAGGTAATCACACTGGTATCATGTTTATGGAAGTTAACTTCTTAGCCCGCATCTTGAAGCATCTCGCGGCCATGGGCGTGGTCACCGAGACTGGTCCTGATGAATACCGCCGGACGGGATTTTCCATGTCAATGATGTCCAATAGATACAGTGACTCTTATCCTTGCATGTACGATACACTCACATACTGGCTATATTGGCTATTAACTGGACTTAGGACTGGTTGCATCACTGATGGCGTCCTTGCCCTCCCCGCTCAGCTTAAGAAAACGAACTACCGAAACCCCAGCGACGGGAAAGATTGCGCCTTTCAGCGTGGGTTTAGGACACCGCTCCACTTTTTCGACTTCCTCACAGAGAACCCTATTCATGCCGTCCAATTTAACAATCACATGTCTGTATACCATCAGGGACGACCGAGCTGGATGGATGTTGGCTTCTATCCGGTGTTGTCGCTAGTTGCCGAGGCAAATATCAGCGATCATGACACCTTGCTTGTCGACATGGGGGGAAGCTTGGGACACGATCTGTCAGAGTTTCGCCGCAAATGGCCACAAGTGCCAGGTCGGCTTATTCTCCAAGATTTACCCAAGGTTGTGGAACAGGCCAGAAGCATGAGCCTGGATCCGGCTATCGAGCTCATGACACATGACTTCTTTACAGAACAACCGATCAAGGGTAAGTGCCGTATAAAGCCATTTAAAGCAATGGCTAACATTCATGCAGGCGCCCGTGCGTATTACATGCATTCTGTTTTGCATGACTGGACAGACGATGACTGCCGTCGCATATTGGCCAATGTTATTCCTGCTATGAAGCGGGGGCATAGCAAGATTTTGCTAAATGAGAATGTTATCCCCGGCACGAATGCATACTGGGAAACTACCAGTCTGGACATTATCATGATGGCCGATTTTGCTTCGACTGAACGCACCGAGAAGCAGTGGCGGTCGCTGGTGGAATCCGCCGGACTCAAGATCATGAAAATATGGACCGTGCGAAGGGGTGTGGAGAGCCTTATTGAGTGCGAACTGGCTTGATGATGCTGTCACTTCTTCAACAGAACATCTAGGGGTTTATACTGTAGTAATATTATTCTACTTATGAGTTTTGTTTCATGCTGCGTTGATCTTACATCTAAAGTGATATGTGTATACCTTATGATTCAAGGCGAATCTTCATATTTACACAGGTAATGGCATGCTCTAACTTCCCTTGCATATTGTTGGGACATCCGACAAAAAAGAATGGTATTCGGGACATAGTCCCATCGAACGGACGGCTACAAGTATCAAGCGCAAGGGGTTTGTTTAACAACCAATTATATGGCCTAAGGAGGTATCATAACAACCTTGCAGCCTAAAAGACAATCTCTAGACGATGTGTAACATCCAATCTGGGATCCTGGCAGATTCTCTGTGTCCCATCCCACTACTCCCTACCTACCCAGTGACTCAACAAACCGCTCAGGAGCCATAATGTATCTCCACCTTCCATAGTAGTTTAAAATCCTCCGTTTTCTGTCATTCTGCTGTGGCCCGGCTTTCATCCACAACAAAACCCAAAACGATACTTACAATGAATAAGTGAGCATATGCCATATCAACAGTCTCGCACTGACAAATTTCAGAAACGAAGCTGCTTCGCCCCAGGCAGATGACTACCCAAACTTCAACCTTGGCTCCTACCACCGACCCATTGCCACATCCTCCCCAGCCGCCCAGCGATGGTTCGACCGCGGTCTAATCTGGTCCTATTCCTTCAATCATGGCGAAGCAGCACGATGTTTTGAACGAGCAGTCGAATGCGACCCCACCTGCGCACTAGCCTACTGGGGCATTGCATACGCCATCGGACCGAGCTACAATATAGCCTGGGGCTTCTTCGATAGCCCCAGTCTCCTAGAAACCGTGGGAAAGGCATGGGATGCGCTCAATGCCTCTCAGAAACATGCTACGCATGCATCCCCACTCTTCCACATGCTGCTAAAAGCCATCGCAACTCGGTTCCCTACCCCGGATACCATCCCCGCTCCTACTGAGATGAGACAATACAATCAGGCTTATGCAGACGCTATGCGCGTTGTGTATGAAGCCTACCCAGATGATCTCGACGTGGCATCGTTGTTCATTGAGGCGCTTATCTGCGTTAATCCGCGCGAGCTGTGGGATATGAACACAGGTGAAGCGAGCAGCGCACATACCCTCGAGGCGAAGGCGGCAATCGATACTGCAATGGCACGTCCGGAGGGTCGAGAGCATCCTGCCCTGTGCCATTTGTATATCCATCTCATGGAGATGTCGGCCACGCCTGAGGTGGCCCTGCCTGCTGCAGACAGACTGCGTCGTATGATCCCGGATGCGTCGCATATGGTGCACATGCCTGCGCATATTGATATGGCTGTTGGTGACTATCGCCGGGCAATTGATTCCAGTGATGATGCTATTGTAGGCGATGATATGTTCTTCGCCACATTGGATGCATCTCCGCTTTATGTGGCCTATCGAGTGCATAACATTGTCACGAAGCTGTACTGCGCTCTGATGTCTGGTCGGTCGCGAGAGGCCATGTTGGCTGCGGATAAATTGGACGAGGTGGTTGATGTGAAATTACTGGCTACTAAATCACCCCCAATGGCAGACTGGACGGAAAGTTTCTTGGGCAGTCAAGCGCATGTTCTAGTGCGGTTCGGTCGCTGGGAAGAAATTCTCCAGTTAGAACTACCAGCACCACAGGACCGAGACTTATACTGCTGCAAGACAGCTAACATCCTATACGCCAGGGGCCTCGCCTTCAGCGCCCTTGGACGTATCCAGGAGGCAGAAGTCGCCCGGCAGGAGTTCGAGGAGGCGCGCAAGCGGGTGCCGAGATCCCGGATAAATAATTTGCCTGTTCGGCAGGTCGATTTCCTTGCCGTCGCATCTTTCATGTTAGCAGGTGAGTTGGAGTACCGCAAGGGGAATATTCGATTAGCCTTTGCAACGCTGCGTCGGGCGATTGAGTTAGAAGATGGCCTGGCGTACTGTGACCCGCCGGCGTGGATGCAGCCCGTGCGGCATGCCCTAGGTGGGTTGCTGCTGGAGCAGAAGCGGGTCCCCGAGGCGGAGCAGGTCTTCCGGGAGGACCTGGGCATGGCGCAGGGGTTTCCGCGGCGTAAGGGCCGATTGAATAATGTGTGGGGGTTGCATGGACTGCATGAGTGTCTGGTGGCTTCTGGGAAGATGGATGAGGCTCGTGTTGTCCAGGTGCAACTGGATATTGCGTTGGGGTCGGCCGATGTGCCTATCTCGACTTCGTGTTATTGTCGCTTGTCTGCGGTTAATGGAAAGGGCTGCTGTGCTCGTCTTTGATGATACGTTTCCTACAACAGCACAGCAAGTATGTAGTCAGAATGGGTCATCGCATCTGTCACTTCAACATGGCAGATGTTCGGAAAGCCTTTTTGGCAGTATTCACAGGTCTATATAATACACTTTGTACAAATCCGTCATTTCTATATACAATCCCACACCCCGTAACCATAAATTTGAAAAAAAAATTTACTCCGCGCGAGGATCCTTCCAGAGGGGATCAACGAAATAGACAAGCCCATGCGCCACTGCTGCAGCCAGGGGACCAACCTACTTTTATTAGTACATGGTCCGAATTTGAATAGGGCTGCTGGACATGAAACTCACCCAATGAATCCAATGATACGTCGGAAATTCACTGGCGACATAAGCGCCGAAACACCTCGCTGGATTAACGCCTGCAGCTTGTCAGTCACCGTAGTTTAATATCGAGAAGTGGAATACACACTAGCACCAATATACCCCTCCCTCGTAAATGCCGTTCCCCATGTAACAACTCCCAACACAACACCGACCAGCCACGGCGAAACAGCATGGCCAAACACCTTGGCCTGTCTAGGGTCCAAGGCAACACCAAACGCCAAGAAAATCAAAATAAGGCACGCAAAGAACTCAATGACTAGTCCATCTGTTGCAGACACCATGGTCGAGTCGATGTGGCATCCTCCCACGGTGAACTCACGCGTGCCGTACGCGGAGTGCATGGCAAAGCCGGCGAGTGCGCCTCCCAAAGTTTGGCCAGCCAAATAGAGGATCATGCGCGGGAAAGTGATAATGCGGGCGAAGAAGGTGGCGAGAGTGATTGTGGGGCTGATGTGGCCACCGCTAGAAGGGGAGAAGGTGTAGATGAGGAGTGGAGTGAGGAGGAGGTTGGTGAGGCCGCCGAATGCTGGGGAGAAAAAGGTGACTGTTCCGTAGACGCCGGCTTGGCCTTTGGGGGATGTTGTTGCGGAGAGTGGGTGAGTTGTTACCCAGCAGGTGATGAAAACGTTCATCATACTTGCTGTTGGTTATACACTTATTAGCTTGGGGCTCATCTTTGGTATGGGGTAAGACTTTGGAGTATGCGGGGGAATTACCTATGCATTCTAGCACAGCAAACTTCCATAGATCCACGCTCAGGAACCCCCGCAAGTCGAATATCTCTTTTAGTGTCATGCACGGTGCTGCGTCGGGCACCTTCTCTAGCACCTTTGAGTTCTTGGGGTCCGTCCTATCAACCACAAAATCCTGGTTTCCGCCCATGCGGCCCGCGAACGGCGGGATGGCGGGCTCGAGCCCATGGTGCTGGGGATGTGTTTCGTCGCTTTCATATTCGGGGAGATAAGTGACCACCATGGTTCGTTTGGGTGAGGGGGTGCGATGACTGCTGCTGCTATCGAGATAAGTGGTTTGTTTCTGCAGCATGTCAGAGAAAGATAGGAAAAGATAAGAAAGGATTGCATGCAATTGATCGCGTGGTGAAGGGGACGTTTTTGTGATCGGGAGGCCCCGGTCTAGGGCTGGAGAGGCGCGATCGGGATGAAACGGGATGCAGAAATGGTGATGGTCGGTCGGCAAACTCGGGGGCGCCGCAGAATTGTGGGTCGTTTAGCCGAGATAAAGAAGGCTTCTAGAAATTATTTGCAAAATCTTTCTGTCGACTTGAATTGATCGGCCAGTGAGAGAGCCGAATTGCCAGATAAGCTACGGCCGATGGCTGGCCGTGGGGATCATCCTTCAACCGACCGCATTGATTGTGGAGATGCCTGTCTGTGCTATCATCGTGCCCTTGCTACCACTTGCTCTATATGAGACGGGAATACCCTGAGGCTTGGTGTGGCAGTTTGGTAGCGAAGTCAGCTTGGGGTCCGGAGTAGCGGTGCCATTTTCGTGTCCGTGATGTCACCCGGCATTTTGACCCTGCTGGCCCGGCTCCGAACAGGTTATCTATGAGCCCGCATGGTGCAACATGGTATGTGCGCGTCTCTGTGCTCGGATTTAAATGCACGGTTGTGCACCACGGAAGCTGCCACGCCTCGGTCGGGTGCCGGAGTCTATTTCCATAGTTTGAGTGGCACTCTTATTCCGATGGTTCGGAAGCGCCCTCGGCCGTTGACCGAAACTGGGGCGTTGCATTATTGTGCACGGGAGGGAGTAGAGTAGCTGTTAGTCAAGGTGTCTCAGGTTGCTGCTAGTATCTGATGATCTGTTGAGTCGTGACATCTCAAAATTTAGTCTATGAGGCCGGGATAATCCCAGAACATGCCACCTGCTTCTAAGCGAATGTCAGCGATCTTAGCGTTGCATCATGCTCAACACAATTAAATGCAATACTATTAGAGAAGACACAGTCCTTATGTTATTCTGCAAAAAGGTATAACATCCATTTAGTGTTTATTTTGTCAATGATCTCGCGACGCGTAGCCCGATATATATATTCATGGTTAAGCCGGCAAGTGTTAGCACCTAAGTACCACTGCCAGCGGAGCTCTCAGACCAAGTTAATTAACCGAACTGAACCAGGGCATCACATACTTTACATTGAATATGCATGTCCGCAGAATTAGCAACCAATGAGTGGTGGTAGAAAGCAAAGAAGTTGCCTTAAATTGGCACTGCACATAAATTTGAGGATAGTTATAATGGTGGTGCCACTGTAACGCTGCATCGCAGTCGTGATAAGTAATAGTTTCTCTGATATTGAAGGACTAGTTATTGCTAGGAAACTACTTTCATCCATAACGAAACTGTCATGCAAGAGCTTCCAGTCGATTACCGCTAGTCCCAAGGAACACGGTGGTTGCGTGTACCGCTACCGTATGCAAGCATCTTCAAAAATGGCATGACCCACTCCGGCCCGCCCATCCCTACTCAAAAGAGGAACGGCACCAACATGAGTGTTGTGTGACGATACTCCTTCCACTGTTGACCAAACGTCTTCTCTAGCAGTTCCTCCTCTTCCTTGATTCGTACCCATCCGATCGTTGGCAGACATATAGCCCAGAACCACCAATGTACAATGGTCACTTCGTGCAACAGTGGTAGGTCGGGCATTAAACATGCAAGTGCACCATCCTCTCTTGCCCAGAAATACAACACTGCAGGGGCCTGGATGGCTAATCCAGCGTATGCTGGATGACGAACGTGGCGATAGATACCCGTAGTGACAAGGCGATGAGGCTTTGACAGAGAGAACGTGAAGCATGAGCCTAGTTGCCAGAAGGCGTAGACACGAATACAACTACCGAGGCAGATCAATGCGAGAGCAGTTGTGGTTCTGCAAGTGAGAGCAAGGTGATCATGTCGGACATGCTCTAAATTCGGGCAAAGCGCTTGCTGCTGTGTTTGTGGAAGAGTGACGAATAGAGCGTGCAAAAGGCCCACTGCGAGGTAATACACGCGGTAGACTGAGGACGCAGTGACCACACCATGCTTCTTCAGAGAGTCGGTCGCCACTGGTGATGAGGTATTCGAGCACTCCAGGCTTTGGCAGTTCAGCAGGGTAGTCACCGCCAAAACAAGTGAGAAGATGATCTGCATTCTGAGATGACTATTTCATAAAGCCGATCTCAGTCTGGGGTCGCAAGTCTTCACCCAAAATATATTAGCAAAGGGCCGAGCGCCCTCTAGGTAAGATCCGGCAGGAGATGTCGTTCTGCTAAGCTTTCTAGCCTTGTCAATGCGCATGCAAGCATCCGAGGCCACTGTGCCACTGCTGTGGAAGGTGTTGCGAGACTAACAACGAGGTGAACCGGTCACACTGACAGGGACCCACATTCCTCACCATGATGCAGCAAACCTTGTATAGACTTCATTGTACCAGGGTCAGTTGCACTGTTCCAGCTAGGTGGTCGATTACCACATCGGGAAAGACACATGTCATACCGCATTTCTACACGTGGATCATGCTGTGTCTCAATGGTAAGCTGCACAATTTTGTTGGATTGAGTTTTGTGAAGCGTGCTTGTACCTCGGACGTGGCGATAAAATGCATCTTCGGGTACTTTATATTTCCAGTATCCCCGTATTACTTACCTGACAGTCCCTTTACCCCACCTACTATCTTGTCTGTGAATCGTTGTCAGAATGTCGCCGGATCTACCTTGCATTGTATTCGTGAGGTCCTTTTTGCATAGACCCGATAATCTTGATCATACAGAGCACCATGTCAGACAAGAGACACCCAAGCAGATCGACGAACATACCCACCGCCGTAAACACTCAGCCGACTCAGAAAAGACACTTACAGTCGAGGACTGGGCAACAAGTCGCGAAAATCCACACAACTGGCCAGTCGCAAAGAGAGTCATCACATCCCTCGTAGTATACATCTACACGTAAGTCCACCCAACCACACCCTCGAACAAAAGTACCTATCTAAAAGTACAGTTTCGTGGTCTATTCTGGGTCATCCATGTTCATTACCGCCGTTCCATTGGTAATGCAGGAGCTGCACCTCTCCGAGCAACGCGCCATGTTAGGGTTGTCCATCTACGTGCTCGGGTGTACGACTCACCCATGCAATGCTACCCCATAACCCTATACTTACTTCAACAGACGGCGTGGGACCCCTCCTCTGGGGCCCGCTCAGCGAGATCCCGAGAATCGGACGCTCGGTCGTCTACTTCGGTACATTCGTAGCATTCATCCTCGTCACGATCGGAGCCGCCGAAGTATCCAACTACAGCGCATTCGTCTTCCTTCGCTTCATGCAGGGTCTCTTCGGCAGCCCGTGCCTCGCCAACGGCGGCGCCTCCATGCACGACCTCTACCCCGAATCCCAGTTCCCCTACGCTCTCGCTCTATGGGTAGCTGCAGCGTACTGCGGCCCGGCTCTCGGACCCCTGCTCACCAACAGCCTGGTCAACAAAATTTCCTGGAAATGGACCATGTGGCTCCTCGCCTGTATGTCCGGCCCGGTATGCATCCTGCTCTTCCTCCTGCCTGAAACTTACGCCCCGACCATACGATACCGCAGCAGTGCGTTCAATACCAGCAACAACCAGAACAACAACAATACTAGTGAAAGTGACAACCCTCTCGCCAAACTGAAATTTTACCTCGTCAAACCCGTCCAAATCACCCTCCAAGACCCTGCCATTCTCTTCGCCAACATCTACACCTCCTTCATCTACGGCACGTATTATACCTTCTTCGACGCCTTCCCCATCGGTTACCCACCCGTCTATAATGTATCCACTACAACCCTCAGCTTATTCTACCTCTCCGTCCTAGTAGGGTGCGTCCTCGCAGTAGCAGCCTACTTCACATACCTCTCCCTCCCAAACTACCTCCGACAACACCATCACAGCACCTCCCCTAAATCCACCCCAACCCGCACACCCCCTACAAAACACGAACGACACCTCATCCCCGCCATCCCAGCTACCTTCCTCGTCCCCATTTCCCTCTTCCTCTACGGCTGGACCCTCCGCCCCTCTATCCACTGGATCGTCAGCATCATCGGCGTGACAATGTACGCTAGCGCAGTGTTCATCATCCTGCAGTGCCTGTCCATGTACATACCCAGTATATATCCCGAGTACGCGGCGAGTCTGTTTGCGGCCAATGACTTCTGTCGGAGTACGTTGGCTGCTGGGGCTGTGCATTTCGGGATCCCATTGTATAAGAATTTGGGGATGGCGAGGGGGTCAAGTGTGCTGGGGGGTGTGAGTGGGTTGGGGGTTTTGGGACTCTTAGGGATTTATTATTTCGGGGAGAGGTTGAGAGCGAAGTCGAGGTTTGTGGAGAGGTTGGTGGAGTAGATTTGCTAGGAATGGGATGAGGAATTGATTGAGGGTTGTGATGGATCGAGATAAGATGGTAACGGTATTGTATTATATGGGTTGTATTGTATACACTGTCTCGTCGCATGGGTGCTTAGATCGGTTTTGACTAAGATGAAATTGAATTGAAATATTGATCTATCTTATTGATCGGAATATTGAGCTCTCTGGCTATATCTACGAAGTATAGATTCATTGTTTTTCGATGGTGTATATAGTATCAAATGTGGATTAGACAGGCGGATCCTACCAGTTGTTGTTTGCTTCACATTGAACTCTTTCATGGGTCATTCATAAGCCTTGTCATATTCAAACCACCTAACACCACCACGTCTACTCACAATCTAATCTAGCAGCGCATCCAATCCATCTCTATCACTCACAACGCCAATCCACCCAACAACAACCCACCCAGAACCAACACAACCAACACGCACTGACGATAAAATCCGACCGGCGCTTCCCCACGCACCATAGCAGCTTGCTGGACCTCCGCACTCGGAAGCACCACACCAGTCTCCGACAATGCCAATCCAGCCTTCCGCTCCGGGTACCGCGGCGGGCTCAGCA